TCCTTTTTTCTTTTTCTTTTTTTATTCTGGGATTTATTTACCTTCTATAATTGAAACTTTGTTGCCTTCAGTGGAGCTCAGAACCCCCGTGGCAGGCAGGAAGCTTGGCTTCCTGCTTGCTCCAGCTCCGTGGCCATGGCCGGCTGAACGCAGGGATCTGGGGGTTATTTACCTTCTATAATTGAAACTTTGTTGCTTTCAGTGGAGCTCAGAGCCAGCCGGGAAGCTTGGCTTCCTCCATCACTGGAGCAACCAAGCCTCCTGCTCGCTCCAGCTCTGTGGCTGCCAGCTGCCATCTTGGTTAGGTTAATTTGCATATAGTCGCTCTGATTGGCTGGTGGGCATGGCTTAAGGCGTAGCGAAGGTACAGTCAATTTGCATGTTTGTCTTTTATTAGTGTAGATTTTTGTTAATCCTCACTGGAGAATATTTTTTCCATTGATTTTTAGAAAAAGTGGAAAGGAGGGGGGCGGGGAGAGAGAGAGAAACAGATTGGTTGCCTCCCACATGTGGCCGGGAATGGAACCTGCAACCCAGGTATATGCCCTTGACCTGGAATCAAACCCAAGACCCTTCCATCTGAGGGTCACCAGCCAGGGCCCCAACTGCTTCTTGCTGCAAGCAATTGTGATATTTCCCTCTGAGCCTACCACCTGACACTCCCAAAATCTGAGGGCAAATAGGCAGGCCCTTCCCAGTGGGACGGAACCACTCTAAGGGCAGTGGGTGGGAGCACTCTAGGGGCAGTGGGTGGGAGCACTTTAGGGGCAGTTGGGTGGGAGCACTCTAGGGGCAGGGGGTGGGAGCACTCTAGGGGCAGTTGGGTGGGAGCACTTTAGGGGCAGGGGGTGGGACCACTCTAGGGGCAGTTGGGTGGGACCACTCTAGGGGCAGTTGGGTGGGAGCACTCTAGGGGTAGGCGGTGGGAGCACTCTAGGGGCAGTGGGTGGAACCACTTTAGGGGCAGTGGGTGGGTGCACTCTAGGGGCAGTGGGTGGGAGCACTTTAGGGGCAGT